CAAGCTGCATCAAGTGCACGCATCAATGAATCGACCAATCAGGTGGCCGAATGCATTGATTTGATCTGTGACGATGTCGAACCATCACCAGAAGTTGACAGCGATCAAACTGAGCGAAATGCTGTGCGACAAGGAGGAAACCAGCGACGAAAGCGGAAAATTGTTGATGGAACGACGTCGGATGGCAGTGCGAAGAAGAGACGAAAAACGGGCCTACGATCGACACTGAAAACCGTTCCGGAATCGACTTCAGGTGAGACTTTCGATTGACACACGTAAAAACATTGGAGTTTTGATTGTGATTTTGAAATTTTTCCGTAGAAGTGACATTGATTGACCTGACATTGAACGACATCGAGGGTTCTGAACAAATGAGCAGTATCAGCAGTCAACCAGTTCGAGAGGACGGTGCTGACTCGAACGGAGTTGAAAAACCAAGCGCATCGACATCGAACGCGAAACAGGTGGCAAAGAAGAAGGGTGGTGTTGGAAAAAGCGAAGGTGAATGCGGATCGAAGGGACATAAGTGCGCATTTTGTGGGTTCACAGCCCCAAGTGAATCACAGCTGGTCAGACACACGCGCACTCACACCGGCGACAAATCATTCAAATGCGAAGTTTGTGCGAGAGGATTTACTGTCAAGAGTCATCTCAAAGGCCACATGAGGACCCACGCGAATGACTTCCCGTTCCGTTGCTCGATTTGTCGACAAGGATTCAAGGTGAAGAAGGCGAAGGAAGCGCATGAAAAGAGCTGCGATCAACGTCGATTCGAATGCTTTTTGTGCAAATATTCAACTTTGAAAAAATCACATTTAGTCGTACATATGCGCACTCACACCGGCGACAAACCATTCAAATGTGAAGTTTGTGCGACAGGATTTGCTCAAAAGAGTCATCTCAAAGGCCACATGAGGACCCACGCGAATGACTTCCCGTTCCATTGCTCGATTTGTCGACAAGGATTCAAGGTGAAGAAAGCGAAGGAAGCGCATGAGAAGAGCTGCAATCAACGTCGATATGAATGCTATTTGTGCAAATATTCCACCTTATACAAACCAAGTATAGTCAAGCATATGCGCACTCACACCGGCGACAAACCATTCAAATGCGAAGTTTGTGCGAGAGGATTTACTGTCAAGAGTCATCTCAAAGACCACATGAGGACCCACGCGAATGACTTCCCGTTCCGTTGCTCGATTTGTCGACAAGGATTCAAGGTGAAGAAGGCGAACGAAGCGCATGAAAAGAGCTGCGATCCACGTCGATTCGAATGCTATTTGTGCAAATATTCAACTTTGATCAAATCAGATTTAGTCAAGCATATGCGCAAACACACCGGCGACAAACCATTTCGTTGCTCTCATTGCTCGAAACGATTCGTCCAAAAAAGTAATTTAAATCAGCATATGAACCGTCACCACAATAAAACGAAATGATTTTGGTAACGCATTCAAAAGACGTTCCACCGTCGAAAGATGTCTAGAGACACGTTGAATGTAGTTTTTTTGATTGTATCACATTCAGAAATTTATGTTTATCACTTGCTTGTGCACAAAAGAAAAGAATCTCATAAAATTTGTACAAAGATTGATGAAAATCGACTCGAAAATGTTTCAGTTTAGTTTATTTGATAGAATAAAAATCGAATTGGAACAAAGTTCCAGACACAGAAATATCCAAATCGAAGAATTACCACAAAAAACATTTAATACGAGTGAATAAAATGATAGAAATGAAAGTATAAATCCGTTTTGTTTTTCTTATTTCATTACAAAGCTGAAATTCGACTGGAGAATGGTTTATTCTGTCGAAAAGAACATATGAGTTGACTGAATTTCGAAGTATTTCTCAATCAAACAAATTGAAAGAAGAATTGGGAATCGGTCATTGAAGTATTAAAGTCGATAAAGAACCAATGCCGATTTTACGCGCATATTAAAGTGAACTTTGGTTGTGAGCT